GCTGTAAAGGCAAGAGACAGCCTGAGGTGATGACCAGGTGCTGGTGTCAGGAACTTTTAGGAAAGGCTGTGGAAAATGACTCAGGTCAGCTCTGCAGCTGAGAGGAGATGTGTGTTTTGACAAAAGATCGGGAGATGGAGATAAGGGTGCTTATCTCCCCACGGTCAGGGCAAGATGGGCATTTTAAAAATTTAAAATACATATCCCAACATCTTTCAACACCTAGATGGGGTTCCTGGTTTGTTCTCAGTGTGGTTCTTTTTTAACTGTTCTTCCATTCATTCAGCCTTTCTCTGATTTATTGTCCTGATATAACAATTGTGTGAATTGGCTCCTGGAAGCTATATGAGATTTTAACAGATTCTCAGCCTTGGGGGGTGGAATCCTTCTTCCTCTCTGTTTCCATCATCCTTGTGCTCTCTCTCCTCAAGGGCAGGTGCACTCATTTCCTCTGTTAGCTCTTTTTGTGGAACAGTTCAAGGCTCCAGGCATTGAACCAGCTCACCTGTGATATGCCACACAACCCTTGCAGCAGCTGCAATGCTGGTGAGGAAAAAAAAATTCATATGCAAGTTATTTCTCAAGACAAACCTCTCATTTACCATCTCAAGACAAATCTATTTCTTTGCGAAGCATAAATTGTGTTACTAGCTTTTTTATTATCATTTTTCACTCACTGAAGAAAGTTTCTTTATGCAGCAGACTTCAGTGAAGCCATTTGTGTAAGAATTATGGGAGCAAAAAATGTAGGATTAGAAATTTTCTTACAAAAAAAAATTGCTGGGTTTGTTGTTTTGGTTTTTTGGTTGGTTTTTTTCCTCTCTAAGCAATTATTTTATTGGAGTACAACTGGAAGTTCCTCAAAACTTTTTTCTGGAAAGGGTAATTCCATCATGATCATTCCCATATGTTTTGTAAAAAGAAATAGCTGTCTGTACTCAATTTGTTTCAACAATGTGCATTTAAATATTTGTTATGTATTTAGAGTGGACACAGGTACAACATGTGTCTTCATCTCTTGTAAATAAATACTTTTCCTGTTTTCTGGCCAATTCCATGCTCTAAGCCTTTCTGAGCTACCATCCTGTTGAAATCTTAGCTGACATGTTTTCTTTCCTGCCTTTTTATAACATTTCAGTGGTCTGGCTCCTGAATTATAACACATTCCTCACCCTGATTTATTTTGTTATTTTATTTTTTTAAATTGTATCATCACCACAGTGCTGATAACATGTACAGAGTGAAAAAGAAAGGGACCTGGAGCTTTTCTTCAAGCTCCTTTGGCATATTCCCTGAGGGAATCTGAGGACACAGGGAAATTTTGTCCAAATTCTGCTGCACTTTGACCATCTGGGAATGGGGATGTCCTGTAGGAGCCACCCTCTCTGGGTCATACCGGCTGCTTTGGCTCCCCTCCTGTGAAGGGCCAAATGTCTCATTGCCACGTGGTGAGACACAGCTCATAGCTCCTTTTTCAGAGAAGGGAATGTTTCTGTTCTGAGAAATGCACTGGATTTTCCTTCAAGTGTTTCTGAAAGAGGAGGACAAAGGCATTACACTGTCATGTAGGCTGATTTCCCAAGCCCACACTTATCTGGCAATAAATACTTGGATAGGAGTAAGATGATGTTGTGAAATTGAATCTTTATACCTCAACAGATGGTAACAAACAGCCTAAATATGAGGTGAGTGCATCAGATGTTTGACTTGACTCTGAGAAGAAGATTTATACAGTTATATTCTGCTTGAAAAGGAAATACCTAAATACCTTTGCTAATCTAGATCTGTGCCACATTAATTTTCAAAGGCAGGCAAGATCTCTGCTGCACTCTGACGTAGATTATTGGTTCTCCTGAGCCAGGAGGCATGTAAAAAGTGACAAAAGGGAATAGGCTCCTATTGAATTTACCAGACAAGTTGATAAATTTTATGTGAAAAGGGAGGTTGGAAGTATAAATATGTTCTACATCCTTTCCATGACAGGCTATGGAATATTTATTATGAATGGAGTCATAAAGCAGGAATAATCTTCCCCATGACCTCACTGTGACAAACTGGCTTTCTAATTCTTGCTGAGTGCTGATTATTACTTGGCTAACACTCTGAGCTGAAGATGAAGCATGTGCTAAGTTGCAAGAATTCTTACAAATAGGCTGAGCTAATTCCAGAAGGGCGATTTTAAGGACACATTCATGTTTTTACTTGCTGGAGTATTTTTTCTTAAGGCACAGGAGTAGATCCACACATGCAGAAAACCTTCAGGCAAACAGTGTGAATGCAATTGCTCATTTATGCATTGTGCAGTGCCTGGTCCAGGGCAGCAGTGGGATTACTGGGATTGGTCACAGGCTAGGAAAGGCACTCTCATTAAACACCTTTTGGAGGTGATAACACTTATAAACTTGCTTCAGGTTTTATTAACTCAGAGAGGATGCTGCTGGTGAAGGCAGCTCACAAAGGCATGGGTATAATATGAAAGAGTAGAGTTAAGGGGTTCCTTGTGGAGTTTTATCACCTGCTGGAAACATTTGAACCACATTTATGGAGACTTTGCTCATGGAAGGAGACGAGGATCCTGCTTCTCATAGCAGTGCAGCTGCTGTGTGTACATCTACAGTGCTTTCAGAGCCTCAGGGAGAGCTACTGTGATCTCACAGGCAGAAATTGAAAGTCATTAATTGAAGAACTGTGCCATCCTTCATGCTAGGTTTCCCCTATGGATCATCCTGATTATTCCACCATGAGCTGAATTAAGCCAAAGGTGCCTCTGGTGTGTATTTGCCCTTCAGCAAAGAGTCCCCAGCAGTGTCTGACTGTAACCAGAGCATCTCCTCTCCAGACCAGAGCCACAGCCAGCCCTCCTGGACTCTGCACTGCTGGGGCTTACCCTGGCACATTTTAGTCCAGCAGGCAGCTCATGCCACTCAGACACCTACCTGAACAGTTGTCTCGTGGTTCCACACCTCCCTCACATCCCATGATGTGCTTTTCCAACCCCACCTTTCCCCTCCAGATGTGCAACAAGGGGAAAAAAGGTAAAACCTTTCCAGGTAGCTGCTACTGAGCAGCAAGGATAATAAACTTCTGGGTGTTATAAAACTAATAGTTTTCTGGTAGTTATAGAACTAATGTTTATAGCATTTCTTCTAGTAGTGTCCAAATAATGCCTAAAGGAAGGATTTGTCATTCCTTTTGTAATAACCTGAATACCTGCCACTTGCTTTCAAAGGTTTTCCATAGGACGTAAGATTTTCCCCAGTTATTCTCCATCTCCCCACGCAGGCTTCTGTGATACAACAATTCACTGCTGGGGGATATCAGTGGAGGGAATTGTCTCACATGGAGAGTGTAAAACATCAATGGAATGAGCAAATACCTCTTTTAAGTTCTAGATGAGCTGTGGGAAGTTTTTCTTCTATGAGATTTCACAGAGAGCCTGAATTTAAATCTCCTAAATCTGTGAGAACACAGACAGACGTTGGGCTTTTTTTTTTTTTACCTTACCAAAAATATGAGACTTTCTTCAAAACTAGATAGGCTCAGCATTGAGCAGCACTGACAGAAATGCTGTCTGCAGGCTCAGTAGTGGGGCTCATTGTCTCTGTTCTCTGAGCACTGAGTTTTTATCAATGCCAGCACACCACTCATGCAGGCAGGGGGAGTGAGCAGCAGCTCTAACTGAGCTCCTCAGGTGGGTCAGCCTTCCTTCTGTTTCACAAAAACTGTGACAACTTCATGCCTCAGTGGTTATTTTCATGAAAATGGAACAAATCAAGTTTTTCCTAGCAAGTCACCCAGGAAATGTAAGGGTTTATTTCTTGTGTTCTTGATATGGCTTTGCCCCTTGGGCATGTCCTGCCTGCAGAGCACCTCTTGCCAGCCCATGCTGCATTGGTGTGGTTGGTGCAGTTCAGCTGAATTTGTCAAAAAACTCGGGGAAATCTTAATTAAATTTGTGTTCTTGTGTATCTCATGCTCACAGGAAAACACAAACTTAAAAAACATAACCATATGCTTTCCTGCTACCATTGGTTACTCTGCCACATGCTGTCAGCATGTCAGATTTGAAAAATTAAACCACAGTAAAAGAATTGCCAGTAAATGTTTAATTTCATAGGCCTGGGAGTGTTCTGTCAGTGCACAATGTGACTCCTGTGAAATGGCTTCACTCTGACATCAGAGGTGAATTTCAAGTATTTCCATGCTTCAAGCTCCCAGCAGCTTCAGCTGTATTTCTGTGTTCTTGCCTGCCCTAAAAATTAAAGAATAAACCTGCAGTTAGTTAATCAATCAGGGATAGAAACAGCAATATAATCCAAACTCAGGGTTATGAAAGGTCAGTGAAGACTTATAAAGGAATCTTCTGTAGTTAAAGATCTGGGAAGCAATAAAATCCACCAAACTGTCCTGTGCAAGAGAATTCATGACTGTAGTTTTGCCAGTCTGCTCAGGGTATTTTCCAGAGGCTTTGGGGATACCAAATTTCACTTCACAGGGGTTGTTCACAGGAGATGATGGAGCACTTCCCTCTAAATTAGAAGACCCTGAAGAGATATTTTTGCTCTGAATCATTAGAGGTTAAACCCATAATCACAAAGATATTCAATCAAGTCCTGCCCTTATTTTCAAACCACAGAAAGATGGATGCAGTGTAATGGTTATTCATATGAGAAGTCTGCTATTTTTCCAGGGGTACAGAAAGCTGGTTAGCTTTCAGTTCCTTGGATCCTTTCCCTCCCTGACAAGATCTTTCACTTCATACAGCAGAGCAATGGAATTGAACAAATTGTCAAATGAACAAAACTGCAGCTATGCCCAAACCTATCACCATTGTTTCCATAAGCTTCAATTCTGCAAAATCTTGCAAATTGTCTTAAATTCTTGTAATTCTGACATGTTTTATGGCCATTAAGGGGCACTCCATGAGGTGATTCTGGTGCCAGGGTTGTGTCAGAACAGAAGGTCATAGAGGAAGGTCATAGAGGAAGAAACCAGCAAGCTCTGAATGGAGCTTCACAGAGAGATGCTCCACCAGAGCAGATGTCTGTAAACAGGAGCAGGGCTCACACATACTCCAGGGAACCTCTAGATGGATAAGGGGAACAGACAGACACACTACTCCAGGGCTCAGGTACTTGGGAAGATTTTTCTAGGGATCATCACTGAAAAGATTTTAAATACACAGTGTAGAAATTAGTGTCATACAGGTATTACCTGAGAGAAAAAACATATTTGCACATTTAACATAGAGAACATATTTTCATACATCCCCAAGAAGCAATCGCTTCTTCATGGTCTGACAGGGATGAATTTTGCTTGTGCTTCAGGTGAATAACAGCAAGAATGATCCATGCAGGAAGGAATCTCAGTAGAATCATGGTTTCAGAGCCAGAGGAACTGCTGCAGGTCAGAGAGCTTTGATACCTGTGATCACTTGTATGCCAGCAGCACTGAGCAGCTCTCCCTCTTTGGACAAATTAAATACAACTCTTAATCTAATGTCATTGGTTTTCTCATAAATAAAGTCTTGTGAATTTTACTAATAAGTTCTGTGTGGATATCTGTACCGAACTGGAGGAGTCATGGGAGCTGTGGAGACTGTCCATTTAAATAACCTTGTGTTTAATTAAACAATAGCTGGATGCAGATTGCTGGATAAAATTCCTTGCTGTACTAGAAATGGGATAAAAAATAAGCAGAATTCCCCAGCATGGGAAAAGACAATTCCCAGCACAGAACTAGAAACCTCAGAGTCTGTGGAAGTGACTGGTGGAAGTTCAGGCACAAATGTCACAGGCAGCACCTGCAAGTGCTGAATTCCAGCAGCAGGAAAATCTGGGAAGCAGTGGCCATTTGGGGGACACTTGTGGGTCACCTCAGGTGGAGAAGAAGGATGACACTGCAGTGGAGATATTGTTTCAGAAGGTCTGTGGGATGTGTTTTAAGTCTGTCCAACAGCTGGAATTTATTATTGTAAATAACAATTTGCCAGACTCCCTGATCTGGCACTTAGAAACCAACCAACAAACAACAAAAAAAACCATTCAAAAGTTATTGCAAGATCTAGAATGACCCCTTGAGATGTCAGATAAACACTGCAGTGAGTGCAGGCCATTCAGGGCCAGGCTGAGGCCTGTGACACTTAATGCTGATTAAACCCATAGCACACACATAAAAAATATCAGATCAAGAGCCCAGGCTTAAAAATGCTCAGGGTCAGGAAAGAAGAAATCCCACAAGAAAGAACTGCAGGACTTTGCTAACTATGACAACCAATATCTGTTATGCAGAAGTGGATTAAATAATTCCAGTATTTGTAAAAACTCCTTAGAGCAAACTGGGTGTCCATATAATTTCAATTCTCAAGGAGTACAAATTTTACTGTTAACTCATAAGAGCTGTGGCTGGGGAATGGGGAGGTGGAAGACTGTGCTTTAGGGATGCCCCAATTCTTTAGTGGCAATGCCTCAAATACCTGAGGCCCTGGAAGTGCCTGTCTCTCCTGTGTGGACACTGTCAGCACAGGGCAGCAGCAAACCCCTCCCTGGGGACAGAAGAGGGGAAGAAGGAGGTTTGTGGAGGCAGCAGCTTGAATTTGTCGGGATCTCTGCAGCTGGGGTGGACCCACCTTCCCTCTGGGAATGCCCTTGGGCTCTGCTGAGCTGCCCAAGGCCCTCCAAGGAAGGCAGAGAGATCTGAGTTCACTCACCACTTGTGGGACAATAGCAAACCTGGCTGTGGCAGGATAAAGGGGCTGTAACTCTCCCCTGCAATGGATAAATAAATAAATACTGTTTCTGCTCCTCCTCCACAGATCTGGAAGCTCTGTGCATATGTTCAGCCTCTACACAGAATCACACCATATGTGCAGAGCAGCTCTGGGGGAATGGAAAGTAAGAAATCAGCAAATGGCCCCAGCCCCACGTCTGGGGCATTCTGAGGGTGGAGGACAGAAAATGCTCAGGGAAGAGGGAGAAGGTGGGAACAGGAGCAGTAACCAGTGTGAAAGGGAAAGGAGGGAAGCACAGCACGGCATCTCAGTGTGACCCAGTGTTTTGTTGAGAGCTGAGCCATGTGGGCAGAGGAAGATTTTGAGTGAGACCTAATTAAAATCATCTGGCCCTCATGAGAGAGGTTTCTTTTCCTTGCAATTATTTTTTGTGTGTGTCTAGGATATTTAATTAGGCATGTAGAGCTGATGTTTCTAAGAGGAATTCAAAGCACATTCATAGCTATTTTTAATACGTTATTACATTGTTAGACTTGGGGATTACAAACACTGCAAGTCCATGAGAACAAAGAAACTGCATGGCCAAGTCTACAGCAGTGGATCAGGACTGACATGATCTGCAGCCCAGGCAATTCTCTGTTTTGGTAGAGTTTTGGGAGGCAATAAATATCAAAGTAGAAATGTTACAGCATCCCAAAAAGACTATCATCATCAGGGTCTAATTGTATCCTCACCCCCCTGCAGCCAATCTGTGGAGTACTGAAACTGGATGGAACTTTGGAGAACCACGGTTTTGATAAGGTTTTCTACTAGTATCTTAATTTTTTTATTTTGTTTCAGATTTTTTATTTTTTAATTTTCCTTTCAGTGATCCCATTTATAACTAGAGACCATCTGGGAACTTCATAGCAAAAGGCAATTCAGCGAGCAGTGGTTAATAGGTAACCACTGGACTGATGAGGTGCTGACTCTGGCTGCTTCATTATAATTCCACACATTCTGTGTCCTTCTAGCACAGGGATAAAGTTGCATGTTGTGGCTCTGAGTGCCCAGAGCATGAGACAGTAAGTGTGCAGCTGTGTCAGACACCTCCCTGGGGTAACTTTGCAAAGGCAAACTCCAAAAAATCATACCTGAATGTTTTTTCTGTATATCCTTATGGTTGAGGGCTTTTTTTTCCTCCCTTTTTTTCTCACAGGGCTGGAATTCAGCAGACACAATTAGAAAATACCAAACGCTGGTTTTGAGGTGAGCTGGGCTCATGGGTTCTCTTTTCTTTCTCAAAAGATTTCCTACTAATTTCACACCCACAGACAACCTTAGCAGAAATGTCCAACACACCACAGCAGTGAGGCAGGCTGTCTGTGCCAGTCCCCAGGGACACTGGTGGAGCCACCAGCCCTGGAAGGGTTCAAAAGCCTGTGGATACAGCACTTGAGGACACGGTTTGATGGTGAACATGCTGGTGGTGCTGGGCTGAAAGAAGGAGTTGGTGTTCTTAGAGGTCTTTTCCAACACTAATAATTGTATGAATCTCTCTATCCCTCCAGACTTTGCCCCTTCTTTTATGTATGATGTCCATGATGTTCTCTTTTCAGTCAACAGAAATGTTTTGATTTAGCAATGGGTGTGTAAGAAAAAGGTGAGGTGTGTATATATTATATATGTGTGTGTGTATATGTATATAAATAAAATTATATACATATGCTTGTTCCTGAAAAAAAATCTGAAATTCACTTAAAACTCAGACATCTTTTTCAATACTTGAACTCTCCCCCTTGATTCTTGAAACACTGCCTTCAAGAATCACAGAGGGGTGATAAATCTTGTCTCACAGCTCAGTAACTGAAGCACCCTTTTGCTCTGCTGTGTCAAAGCCCCTGTGCACTCCTGGCAAAGTTTGGCAGTGTTTAGCACTGTTTGAGCACTGTGTTTGTAGTGTAACTCCAGCCTCTGTGAGAATTTCCTTGGAGCTCTGGATTCCTCACTAAGCTCACTAGGTGGCTGTCTAAGAACACACATGTGCTCTGCTCCTGCTCCCTTGCCCACTGCAGAGCATCCTCTCTCTTCCCAGCCACTGCCAGGGCAGGGAAACCCAGCCCCACACACCCTGGGCACCAGATCCCTTTGGTTAAACCAGTTTTGTTCTCCAAGGCAGAATTATGTATTTATATCAACCGAATCCAAGCCTTGCTTGAATGAGTTCCTCACAGTTTTTCAAATTCTATGAGGTATTCCTAGGAGTCAGGTGAAAATAGGGAATAAGGTGCATAATGAAGGCTGCTTTTTCCTTCCAGCAAACTAGGGCAGCAAGGCAAATCAGCTTGCAGAATCTGGAAATTCTGGTTTGTATGTGAGGGGACAGACTGAGAAAAAATCTGTGCTGTTCACTGAACATTCTTCATGCTCAAGCCCTTGCCAGATGTGGCTTGAGTCTGGCCTGTGTGCACTGATCCTGTGTGATTATGAAACCTTTAACCTAAGGGAAATTATTTCTGATTAAGATGAAAATTGGACCCCAAGGCTCAGGCTGAGCTGAACTTTGGGCATGTATCTCAGTTTTCCAGTGCTTTTCATTGGAAACCCTGACTTACGAAGGAAAGTATGCACGGATCTATCTCCAGTCCATGTGTCATCCCATTGTCTTCAGTTCTGCAGAATGTGGAGCAGGGAATTGGACCACACAGCAACGAATGCATCTCTCCAGAGCACCTCTGGATCTGACTTGCATGGTTTGTGCTCCTCTGGACTACCCCAGGAAGAGGAGGCAGGGAATTGGCAGTGTCTCTGTCTCCTTGCCTTACTGGGATTGCAGCAAAGCTGAATTGGCACATGGGAATGGTCTTAATTGCTTATGCATGGAGAAACGAGAGAGAGCACAGGAGAATAGAAAGGAATATAAATGTTATCTGTACTTAATCAGTGTTTTCCCATCACTGTGTTTTCAACAGGATACTTACATTCCACGAAACAATAATTTTTCTTTTAGTTCAGCCTTGTTGAAAAACCCGGATTTACCTGACACTTTAACAGTTTTCAGTTGGAAATGGTGACATGAGATACTCAGTCTGAGGGCTGGGTCAGCTCTGTATCTTCCAGAAAATCTCAGACTGTGAAATAGTTTGTTTCCTGTCATCAGGACACCAAATGCTGATGTACAACCCTCCAGTGCCTTCTGGGAGTTGTAATTCGCTTGTTCTCTGCCCAGCTCTGGTATTTTTTGGCACCTTGTAGCTACAGGATGCCTTTTCCATGTGGAGATAAATGCACAGTTTTAAGACCTCATTTGCCATAAATCTTAATTTGCATATTGCAAGTTTAGCTGAAATAATAACAAATTGCCAAAATGTTTTTGCCTGGCCGTCAAGGCAAGTTTGAAAGTTAAATTCTTGGCTCAGAGTGGGCTGGATTAATATGAAACGCTAAAACACGATACTGGAGCTGATCAAACCGTGCAACCTACACCTGAGGGGAATTTTTCTCATGGAATTCATAAAAATGTCCTTATTTTCTCTTGATTAGATCTGACTGTTAAGGTTTAAATAGAAAGCAGCAACTTTTACGTGGACAGCAGTGGGAGCTTCGCCGTTCCAAAGCCATAACTTTTAATCAGCACAGTTCCCTGTCAAAGTGGATTATCCCAGGATAATCCACAACCCACTCTGCTCCCAGCCCCCAATGGCTTCAGGGGGCAGCCCTGGAACAGGAGGAGGGAAGCAATGAAAAAGGGGATGCAACTGTCCGAGAGAGACAGAGCTACGTGCCAAAA